AGTGTAAGAGCATTCCCATCTCTCTGCATCCACACCAACATTTGTTGTTTTGTGACTTTTTGATAAAAGCCATTCTCACTGGAGTTATATCTCATTGTGGTTTTGATTTGCATTTCCCTGATAATGAGAGATGTTGACCATTTTTTCATATTTGTTGACCATTTATCTTCTTTTGCAAAGTTTCTGCTCATGTCCTTTACCCACTTTTTAATGGGTTGTTTGATTTCTTCATCTTGATTTTCCTGAGTATATATAGATTCTGGTTATCAGCCCTTTATCGGATGTGTAGCATGCAAATATTTTCTCCCATTCTGTAGAATTGTCTGTTTGCTCTCATGATAGTCTCCTTGGCTGTGCAGAAGCTTTTTAATTTGATCAGGTCCCATTTATTTTTGTTGTTGCTGTGATTGCCTTTGAGGTCTCCTTCATAAAAATTCTTTGCCTAGGCCGATGTCTATTACTTTGGTTCTCTGAAACTCAGTCATAGTAACTTTTTTAAATAAAATCCATCAGTCTCTGATTATAACTGGCATGTTTAGTCCATGTATTTTTAGTGTGATTACTGATGTATTTAAATAGACATGGTCTGCTGTCTTTAAAGTTCAAGGTTTTTTTTTAATAACCAAAGGTTATTTATTGTTTAATGTTTTTTCTCATATTTAAATAAATGAAAAATACTTATTAATATTTATAATATTAGTACAACTGTTTTCTTCTGTTAAAACTACCAGGTGACAAATGTTTTTATTTTATAGCTTTATTATCAAGTACAGCTTTTTTGTAACCCCATCAGTTAGATATTACTGTTATTTAAAAAATATTTGTTTAGATTTACCTAAATATTACCAAATTTCATCACTTTTACTTCTTGTATCTCATTCTTTCCTTCTGTGGTCATTTTTATTTTCCTTGAAGTTTCTTTAGTAAAGATTGTTTTGTTGTAAACTATTGTATTTTTATCTGAATCATCTTTTTTTGTACCATTAGTTTTGAAAGACAGTTTCTAAGTTGACAAAAATTTACTATCTTTAGTTTAAAGATAATTGTTTTGTGGCTTCCACTGTTGCAACTGATAATTCAGCTACTAGCCTAATTATAATTTCTTTGTAGATAATCTGGTCCTTTTGTTTGCTTTTAAGTTTTGTTTTGGTGTTCTGTATTTCCCTAAACCACGGCTAACTGTTGCTTTCTTTTTATTTATCCTGCCTGTTATATCTTGTCTATTCTTCATCTGTGAATTTGTGTCTTTCATAAGGTCTGGAAAATGATCAACCCTTTATGTCTTTGAATATCGTCTCTCATTTATTATTTCTACTTTATCTTTCTAGAATTCCAGTTAGTTATAGTTTAGATCTTTCCTTTCAGTTCTATCTCTAAGCCTCTTATATTGATCATTTCTGCAGTTGTTCTCTAGTTCATTATGTTTTTCTTCAGTTGTAGCTATTAACCCCTTTAATCCTTCATTGAATTTTACAAGTTATTTTTTATTTTGAAAGTTGTAAAATTCATAGAAAATTAGAAAGAGAACAGAACTATAAATATCTGTATATCTTTCATCTAGGCTATGTTACCACCTTACTATTCTGTGTGTATATATATATCTATATACACACACAGATACCATCTTACTTCCCTTTAGGAAAACCATCTGAAAGTAGATCACAGCCATCAGGCATGTTCATCTTGAATACTTCACCATATCTGTCTCAAGGACAAAGACATTCCTCTTATATAAACATGATACTATTACCACAAATAAGGATATCCACATGGATTCAACAATATCATCTAACATATTGTTCATACTCAAATTTCCCCAACTGTTCCCCAAATGTCATTTATATCAGCTTTTTTTCTGATCTAGGATCTAATTAAAGCTCATACAATTACATTTGGCTGTTTGGACTCTTTCATCTCTCCCATTCTAGAACAGTACCCCATATCCACCATTTTTTCATATTTGTTGACCATTTATCTTCTTTTGCAAAGTTTCTGCTCATGTCCTTTACCCACTTTTTAATGGGTTGTTTGATTTCTTCATCTTGATTTTCCTGAGTATATATAGATTCTGGTTATCAGCCCTTTATCGGATGTGTAGCATGCAAATATTTTCTCCCATTCTGTAGAATTGTCTGTTTGCTCTCATGATAGTCTCCTTGGCTGTGCAGAAGCTTTTTAATTTGATCAGGTCCCATTTATTTATTTTTGTTGTTGCTGTGATTGCCTTTGAGGTCTCCTTCATAAAAATTCTTTGCCTAGGCCGATGTCTATTACTTTGGTTCTCTGAAACTCAGTCATAGTAACTTTTTTAAATAAAATCCATCAGTCTCTGATTATAACTGGCATGTTTAGTCCATGTATTTTTAGTGTGATTACTGATGTATTTAAATAGACATGGTCTGCTGTCTTTAAAGTTCAAGGTTTTTTTTTAATAACCAAAGGTTATTTATTGTTTAATGTTTTTTCTCATATTTAAATAAATGAAAAATACTTATTAATATTTATAATATTAGTACAACTGTTTTCTTCTGTTAAAACTACCAGGTGACAAATGTTTTTATTTTATAGCTTTATTATCAAGTACAGCTTTTTTGTAACCCCATCAGTTAGATATTACTGTTATTTAAAAAATATTTGTTTAGATTTACCTAAATATTACCAAATTTCATCACTTTTACTTCTTGTATCTCATTCTTTCCTTCTGTGGTCATTTTTATTTTCCTTGAAGTTTCTTTAGTAAAGATTGTTTTGTTGTAAACTATTGTATTTTTATCTGAATCATCTTTTTTTGTACCATTAGTTTTGAAAGACAGTTTCTAAGTTGACAAAAATTTACTATCTTTAGTTTAAAGATAATTGTTTTGTGGCTTCCACTGTTGCAACTGATAATTCAGCTACTAGCCTAATTATAATTTCTTTGTAGATAATCTGGTCCTTTTGTTTGCTTTTAAGTTTTGTTTTGGTGTTCTGTATTTCCCTAAACCACGGCTAACTGTTGCTTTCTTTTTATTTATCCTGCCTGTTATATCTTGTCTATTCTTCATCTGTGAATTTGTGTCTTTCATAAGGTCTGGAAAATGATCAACCCTTTATGTCTTTGAATATCGTCTCTCATTTATTATTTCTACTTTATCTTTCTAGAATTCCAGTTAGTTATAGTTTAGATCTTTCCTTTCAGTTCTATCTCTAAGCCTCTTATATTGATCATTTCTGCAGTTGTTCTCTAGTTCATTATGTTTTTCTTCAGTTGTAGCTATTAACCCCTTTAATCCTTCATTGAATTTTACAAGTTATTTTTTATTTTGAAAGTTGTAAAATTCATAGAAAATTAGAAAGAGAACAGAACTATAAATATCTGTATATCTTTCATCTAGGCTATGTTACCACCTTACTATTCTGTGTGTATATATATATCTATATACACACACAGATACCATCTTACTTCCCTTTAGGAAAACCATCTGAAAGTAGATCACAGCCATCAGGCATGTTCATCTTGAATACTTCACCATATCTGTCTCAAGGACAAAGACATTCCTCTTATATAAACATGATACTATTACCACAAATAAGGATATCCACATGGATTCAACAATATCATCTAACATATTGTTCATACTCAAATTTCCCCAACTGTTCCCCAAATGTCATTTATATCAGCTTTTTTTCTGATCTAGGATCTAATTAAAGCTCATACAATTACATTTGGCTGTTTGGACTCTTTCATCTCTCCCATTCTAGAACAGTACCCCATATCCCTCTATTTTTCATTACATGAAACCTATAAAGAGTTCTGAAGAACATTCAGCTAAAGTTGATCAACCATTAGAGGAGCTATCACGAGCCAGTCCTAATCATCTGGCCTTTAACTAATATGAACTAATCAGAAGAGTTATTTTTTATTTGCTCCTTTATAGTATCAAAATGTGAAGGGAAAAGGGCATTCCCTTTATGGTCTGTGAATCACTAACTACAACAGTAACATCAGTGCCATCTTGAGTTTAAGTCATTAGTGGCTTATTTCATTTGGAATTGTACTAATTTTTCAGAACCTATAAAGAGTTCTGAAGAACATTCTAGATTCTGGAATTGTCCAAAGGTTTCCTCATTATTAGACTTGGGTCTCAAGCATCCTGTATGAGGTTCTTGCAAGAAGCAGAACTTGGTTTAAGTGGGCAGTGCCAGATCTCACTGTGTAAAAGCACATTTTCCTTTTCATAATTAATAAATTGGGAGTGGCTCTTTGAAACTCTATTTAAACAACCTGTTCCCCAACAACCTATCACACAATGGTTTTAGCATCCTTTAATGATCAGTTGTTACATTTGTTATTAACATTATTACATTATAATTTACAAATTGGTGATTTTCTAATTCTACCATTTCCTCTACATTTACTAGCTAGCCTTCTAATATAAACAGCTTTTCCTCCCTTTTGCCATTTTTTTATATATCTACATAGACTCACAGATTTAAAAAAATTCAATGTATTATAATTTGTTACCATCATTATTCTTTCTAATGATCAAATTATTCAAAATTAGACCAGTGGGAATCCTTTCAAGACAACTACTTTGTCCTTTTGAAATGTCATTGTTAGTTTTTAAATATCTTCTTACCTTCTGACACAACAAGTTGGTCCAGGCTAGCATTGTACCTTTCCTGCTGCAGCCTAGAATCGGGGCTTTCTCCAAGAAACCCTGGTTCCTTCTAATGGTATTTAGAAACCAAGATCTGGTCATTAGTTATGTTCACTGACACTGGGGCATGCCATTTGGGTGTTTTATTTCAACAGTTAGATCTTTCATTAAAAAAAATAGCTGATTATTTTTCAGATCAACCTGGTCGTTTTGAAAATTATATCTTGTTCCTTTGAATTATATTTTAATATCATGTAGCAATATGTTTTTGATGGAAGAGGAAACAAAAGAGGAAGAGATAGAGAACAAAGGAGGGGGCATATTTATTTATCAATTAATACCAAACAGATATTATAATACCTTCGAGACTGTCGCGGAGGCTGCCTTGGATCTGTAGAGCTGAGTCTGTTGCACTTTGTTTTGAAGTGTATTGGTGGGTACTTGTTGATTGCACCTAGGAAGAGAAATCTATGATGAGTCTCTTATTCATGGCTGTTAACATTACTGTAATCTTCTCTGTACACAAAGAAATATTTATCAAAGAAAGATACGAACTAAGTTGATCAGATAAAAATGAAAGCAGATTTCTCAAGAGAATCTTTAAAAATGAATTTAGAAAATACATAGCTTCTGAATTTGCAGGTGAATTCAACTACCTTTTTATTTTTGTTTTTTTAATTTTTGAGATTGGGTTTCGCTCTGTTGCCTGGGCAGTGACATCATCATACTAAGAGCTCACTGCAATCTCAAACTCCTGGGCTCAAGTGATCCTTCTTGCCTCAGCCTCCTGAGTAGCTGGACCTATATAGTTGTGCACCACCATGCCTGGCTAATTTTTGATTTTTTTTTTTTTTTTGGTATGGATGAGGTGTCACTATGGTGCTCAGGCTGGTCTCAAACTCCTGACCTCACATGATCCTCCTGCCTCAGACTCCCCAAAGTGCTGGGATTACAGGCATGAGCCACTATTCCCAGCTCACCTAACCTTTTAATAAGATGCCTTTAACTGCTAAAGTTGATCAACCAGTAGAGGAGCTATCACGAGCCAGTCCTAATGGTCTGGTCTTTAACTAATATGAACTAATCAGAATAGTTATTTTTTATTTGCTCATCTGCAATATCAAAATGTAAAGGGAAAAGGGCATTCCCTTTATGGTCTGTGAATCACTAACTACAACAGTAACATCAGTGCCATCTTGAGTTTAAGTCATTAGTGGCTTATGTCATTTGGAATTGTACTGATTTTTCAGAACAATAAAGCATGCCTCTTTATAACATTTAAAAATTTAAAAGCCATTTTTTGATGGGAATCTTTAAACTGAATAGATTTGTTGAACACAATTAAACTTCTTCCTGGTGACCTGGGGTCATAGGAAGTAGCAGGTTTGTCTTGGGCTGTGGCACAGCACTGTCTCCAGAGCTGCTGTTGCAGCTAGGACCATGTGCTTTAGCCCGAGTGGACTGATGCTATCCTTATTGTATACCTCGTTTATTATTTTTAATCTAAGTATCAGATTTTAAGTAGTTTTACTTCTCTTAGAAAATGTGTTGATTCTGGTGACTCTCCGATACCCAGCACCTAAACAGTGAGTGGCTCAGAGTAGAAGCCTAATAAATACACATTAATATTGAATGAATGTGACTCTGTGGGCCTGCTATAGACTTAAGCATGTAGTTGAATATGATTATGCAAAGTCTTTTTTGACTTGTACTTTTATAGCTATATTTTAAAGATTGACAATTTCTAGATATCTAACTTCTAAAAAAGTAGTACATAACTGTGCCATGGCTGCAGTTTTTCAAAAGCAGTTTATATCTCTCCTGTAACTTTGAGCACCTTTTGCTTAAAACATTTCTTTCCCTTCTCTTGGTTGGGGAGGGGTGGTGGTGCCATTTATCTAATCATACAATTTGACTAATTACTATGGAACACCACCAAGAATTTGGGGTGACTGAGGAAAGAAATTCCTCCTAAGATTTCCTTCCAACTTCTTGCCCCATGGGGAGTGTTTCTTTAGAAGATTATCAGTCTTTCAAGGTGTTTTGTTTTAACCTTCACAAATGTCTTGTGATCACTTCCCTCAAAATGACTGCTGGCCTGGGCGTGGTGGCTCATGCCTGTAATCCTAGCACTCTGGGAGGCCGAGGCAGGTAGATCGCTCAAGGTCAGGAGTTCGAAACCAGCCTGAGCAAGAGCGAGACCTCCATCTCTACTAAAAAATAGAAAGAAATTAATTGGTCAACTAAACATATATAGAAAAAATTAGCCGGGCATGGTGGTGCATGCCTGTAGTCCTAGCTACTTGGGAGGCTGAAGCAGAAGGATTGCTTGAGCCCAGAAGTTTGAGGTTGTTGTGAGCTAGGCTGATGCCATGGCACTCTAGCTGGGCAACAGAGTGAGACTCTGTCTCAATAATAAAAAAAAAAGACTGCTGGCCCCTCATTTTTACCTTTTCTGCTAGCTCTGCTTTCTGGTTCCTATTCCAAAACACTGCCACATAAATTTCCTTCTGGAAGCTTATTGCTCCCATACTGGTGCTTCTGAGACTATACTGCGCATGTGAATCACCTGGGTATCTTAATAAAATGCAGATTCTGGTTCAGAATATCTCTGTTGGAGCCTGAGATTATGCATTTCTAATAAGCTCTCAGGTGATGCTGGTACTGCTGGTCCTAGACTCAGTTTGACTAACAGAGGACAGAAGACATAGCACTGGCCTCACCAACAATCTCCCAGGCTCCTCAGACTCCTCATCCTGCACTGATTAGTTATTGTCTTCACAGCCTTAACTGGTCTCACCATGTAATATCAGTGACAAGTTTGAAACACAGTCAGCACCTCACTTGAGCTGCTCTGGGTTCTCTTTGGCCTATGTGGTCACTTTTTTGCATTTGGATCCAAGGGATCATTCACCATGAAAATGGTTGCAAATGCTACCAAGCACCCTTTAACCTTCAGGGTTATATCAAGACATGGCTTCTTTTTATCCATCCTGTTGCATTCAAAATGGATTGCATATTTTCAAAGCAAGCTCAATCCAAGAAATACACCCCATGTTTCTCTTTTATGGGCACCAGTTACATTAATTACTGGCATCATAAAGAGTCACTAACGAGGCTAAGAAAGTTTTGCAAGGCTGTATTTTTCGTTCTGACAGGTAAAATGGTATCTCCCAACACTTCAAACTCTGCTTTAGGAACTTACAAAAGCAAAGCCAAGAATTGTTTAATTTTTCTTTGGCTCTCTCTTTTGGTGTGTTGTTAACCGATAAAGCTTTCCATCAAAGGGCAATGTGCTAATGTTACATGGCAAGCATCTCTACTTTGTAGCTAAAGCCCAGGCTGTGAAGTCACATCCCCAGACTACATTGCTGCATGTGGACAGATGTGTGAACAGCGGCTTGTTATGATTGCTTCTCCATAGGAACCAGAGGCATTTAAACAAAGAGCCAGAAAATTAAATGCTTAGGAATCAGAAGTTTCCTCCCTTCTACCATCCATCATTACATATTTTCCTTTCTGGCCCTGCAGTGCCCTTGAGGACAGACAATAGGTTTCCAAGAATCCATGTCAGCTTATCAACCTTTGGGGGGGGGTTGGTGCAGGGGGAATACCAAGTATAATACCCTTAATACACAGAAAAGAACAGTTTTTCTTACTTACGCCTGACTGAGTTTATAAAAGACTTCATAAACTTCACACCATATCTGTGGTCAGGTTTATGAATTCGGCCAAGCTGGACCAAGTGGTGATCCAAAGGGTGGCTGGCCAGATCTTCCAGTTCCTTATCATTCCAAGTAGGGCCAAGGGAAAACACAAATAGGGCATATCCCTGACATTTAGCCCTCAAAGATTCTTTCTTTAAAGTTTCCTCATCCAAGTGACTGGTTTCCCCAGCAGATATCACAAATATGACTTTGTTACTTCTCAGATTGGGTGCACTTAAAAAGATATTGTCCAGAGTCCACTGTAAGGCATGGCCAACAAAAGCATCTCCATTTAGTTGCTGAACCGATTCTTCTACGTGCCTCTTCATGAGGCGCTTACTGCGGTAGGTAGTAAGGTTGAACTCTGCTCTGACAGGACTCTTCTGAGTGTTGGGTAGGAAGTTGGGGGGAGCATGGCTCAATAGGGCCACCCGGTCTCCAGTGACAGAGGTTTCAGGCTCTGGGGTGATTTCAAAATTATCTAACAGTGCTCCCAGGAAGCCTCTTATGTCTTCAAAGTCAGCACTTCCTACATTCCGGGAGCCATCCAGAATGAAAGCAGCATCCATGTAAGACAGCACAGGGGGTGGCCTGGCTTGATCACAAGAAGCATCCGGCTTGCATATATCTGCGAACCAAAAGTCACTTAGGGTTACTAAGCAGGAATGGACAGAAAAGGAAAGACAGCATTTCAAATATTTTGAGGTTTGGAAACTGTATAGTCTTTGATGTTAAAATAGTTACTAAGTGACTTTAATATCAACAACAGGAAGATTTCCTAGTGCATGGTTTGCATCTACTTCCAAAAAGCACAGATTTTATAGGTTGTGTCTTGGACTCCATTTACTGAAGCTATCAGACTTTTAAAAATTAAGCTGCTTTCAACAGAAGTTTAATCTTGGCTGACTCTTAAGTTTATAACGTTTGAAGTGGACAATATCTCATGTATTGCAAGAATACACTGTATCACAACATAATAGCTCCTGATCCCTCTAGACTGACAATATTCAGGTTAAACCAATGGCCCTTATCACTATGCTCACATTGTTCTATGAAAAAGTAATCTTCTTAGAAAGTAAAAGTGAAAAAAAGCAATATATCTTTTTTTTTTTGACAGAGTCGCACTCTCTTGCCTGGGCTAGAGTGCTATGGCGTCAGCCTAGCTCACAGCAAACTCATACTCCTGGGCTCAAGCGATCCTCCTGCCTCAGCCTCCCGGGTAGCTGGGACTACAGGCACACACCACTGTGCCCGACTAATTTTTTCTATTTTTAGTTGTTTTTGGCAATTTCTTTCTATTTATAGTAGAGACGGGATCTTGCCCTTGCTGAGACTGGTCTCGAACTCCTAAGCTCAAGCAATCCTCCTGCCTCAGCCTCCCAGAGCACTAGAATTACAGGCGTGAGCCACCGCGCCTGGCCTAGCAATATATCTTTTATTTCAATTTAAATAGTTTATAACTCAAGGTCTATGTGTGCTCCCAAAGGACAAAGCTACTGTCCATCTTCGTATCTCCATAGAGCTTATTAGTTGAAAGCTCAATATGTGTTTGTTGAATGAATACTGGATATTAATAGACTTTCATAAAATATGAGGTCATTTTTATAAATATTCATATCTCATTTAACAAAAGAATGCACAGTAATAAAAACAGAGAGGAGATTTTATTAAATCTGACCACATTGAATATTCAGAGAAATTTTAAAAAATAATTAGAAATGGAAGGATCTTAGAGGTTACTAATCCTCTAATTTTATGTAAGAACTGAGGTAAGGAGAATAATATCATTTTCCCAAAGGACACAGTAGTATGTCTAGGAGTTTCTATATATAAAGTCTGTGTTTTATTGTTAGAGATGAGGACGGGTAGTGTAGTAGTGAGGCTCCTTGGCCTAAAAGCAGGGACACCTGGGTTTTGGTTTTGTCTCAGTAACAAACATGCTGTGTGGCCCTGGCCAAGGTACCACTGGGCCTCAATTCTACACAGTTCTGCCCGATTAGGTCGTAGGGCTAGATTCACCTGGAGATCCCTTCTAGGGCTGACACTCTGTAACCCTAGATTTCTAATAATAGTTGATGGTTGAGGATGAGAATGGCCTCTTTAAAAACCAAAGAGAAGGAAGAGAAATGGAATAACATGTGTATGGACAGCTGGTCCTTAGATATAGGCATGGGCCATAAATAATAGCTATTAGATGAAAGATGAATGACCAGAATGCTGATCCTTGGTAACATAGCAAACTCCTAACTTCAGTCTTGCTCATGGACCCAATAAAGATATGACTTCGGACAAGTTATGGTACCCTTAGTGAAATTTAGTAAAATGGTATGACCCTGTGGAATGTTCAGATGACAGAACAGTCACCTGTGTGCAAGGCAGTTCCAAAATCAGGGACAGCAGGCTGCCCATTTGCTCAGTTTTGTGGGTTTTTTTAATTGCAGGAAATGACAGCCAAAATATCTTCCATTATATGCCTAAGAGATGAAATAAGAGTTTAAGCCAAGAAATGGAGCCAAAATCTATCCCCCAGTCATGCATGTGCAACTTCTGACTGTGCAACATGCCAGCACACACTGTCGTAACTGACATGTTTGAAAGAGCAACTGAGAATATATAGGGTGGGATGTAGCTCCCCATAGAATGGTTAGTGCTTTAACGACTTAAGATTGCCAGCGCCTAAACCAACCCTGTGCAGCCCAGACAGTGGGAGAGCCTGAGAGTGAGAAAGAGGTGGGGAGAGGAAAGAGGGAAGCAGAGGGGAAGACAGAATGAAGAGGGGTTATTAGACCAGAAATCGTACTTCTCCCTCAGAATACCTCCCTGCGAGGTCATTTAGATGGCAAGCATTAGCTTCTCACTGACACACGTGGCAAAGGAGAGGAATCAAACATTTTCTTCAGGCTCAAATGGAGAGTTTCAGGGAACAGAAGAGTGAGAACTTCTGCTTCTCATTAACTTTGGGTAGTTTAGACCAGCAGCCTTCTTGGGTTCGGTCTGCCTGTGAGGCCCTAAGCAAATCATTATAATACATCTTGCTAAGCTTCATTTTCCCCATTTGTAAAATGGAGCTAATAATAGTTCAAATGTTTTAGGGTGATTATAAGGATTGAATGACATAATTCATTTAAAGGGATTAGAACAGTGCTTGGATTATAATAAGCACAATAGCTTAAGTATTAGCTGTCATCATCACTATCACTGATACAAGCAATTAGAACAGTGCACAGCCTGTAAGTAAATGCTTGATATCTCTGAGCTATTATAGCCACCAAAAAACTCAGTGGATTTCACTGTCTTCATAATTATTAGAACACTCAAATAGAAGATTGGAGTCCAGTTTTCTAGTTAGACCTATAGGTCCTATATAAAACACTATAAACAAATCAACACTGCAAATCTTTCTGATGTTTAATATTTGGGAGTCCAGCCAGGTGTGGTGGCCCATGTCTGAAATCCCAGCATGTTAGGAGGCCGAGGTAGAGGATCACTTGAGCCTAGGAGTTCAAGACCAGCCTGGGCAACATACTGAGAAAGACCCTGTCTCTACAGAAAAATTCAAAAATTAGCCAGGTGTGGTGGCACGCACGTGTAGTCCCAGCTACTCGAGAGGCTGAGGTGGGAGGATCTCTTGATCCTGGGAGTTTGAGGTTGCAGTGAGCTGTGATCACGCCACTGCACCCTAGCCTGAGCAATAGAGGGAGACCCTGTCTCAACAAAACAGAAATTTAGGAGTCCATGAAGCCTCTTTTCAATGAGAAATGCATGAGTTCTTGCAATTTTCCACTTCTATACTAAAAAATATCCCCAAGGAGGTAGGAGGGTGCTGAATTACTTTAAAATATTTCTTTGGGGCTATGAACATTTGAGGTTTAGAAAACACATAAATGTACTTTATAGCATGAAAAACTTGGCAAAGAGATAGACTAAGTTTTTCTAAAAATCATTACTGTTTCCTGGAAGCTGCAATAAGCAGAGAGGCTGGAATGCAGCCCTCCTGCTGGGATGTATAGGGGGAGACCGGCTTGCTGAGCTGAGATGATCCATCTGTGGGATACGCAGTGTGACAGGTTGCACCCAGAGCCCCAGAAAAGTCCTCCCAAGGCCACACATATCCTTGCTGCCAAGTTCCAGCTGCTCCTGCTAATGGTGACTCAATGTGCTTAACAGGCTGGACCAAGTCATCTTCGGCGGGTCTTACCGTAGCAGAAAGTGCACCGCTGGAGTCTCTCTAACGCTGGTGTGTAGTCGGCCTCGGGCCCAGAGGGAACCACTATTACTTGAAACGTGCCAGTGTCGTCAATCTGCAGGAAGAGGAAGAGAAAGAACAGCTTAGTGGGTCGGGCTTCGGGAACCTCCCAGGACTGTTTAGAGAACCGAGATCTGGAGAGGGCAACAGTGCTCCTTCTCGGAAAGTCCTGGGGAGGCACAGCACACCAGCGGGGCTAAGAGCTCTTCCTGGGCTTTACACTCCACCCTCTAGCCGTATGACAAGTTACTTTGCCTGTTTCCTCATCTGTGAAAGGAGAACGTTACTCTACCACCTAACAGGACTACTGTCCGCATCAAATGAGTTCATAACTGTAAAGCACCAACCGGCACAGAGTGGGTGCCATGTAGGTCACTAAAGACCACAAAGCACTTTCATGTCCAACAACCCAATGAGTTAGTTTTTATGCTCCTCATGCCCATTTTATAGATGATGAAACTGAAAGCTCAATGAAAGGCAAAAGGACTAATCAAGAGACACTGGACACCGAAGGCATTTAAGGAAGAGGATCAGAGACCTTCCCTCCCCCCAGTCCAGAAAACATTGTAAATAGGAGTTCAAGACCAGCCTGAGCAAGAGTGAGACCCTGTCTCTACTAAAAATAGAAAGAAATTAGCAGAACTAAAAATATATAGAAAAATGAGCCGGGCATGGTGGCACATGCCTGTAGTTCCACTACTCGGGAGGCTGAGGCAGTAGGATTGCTTGAGCCCAGGAGTTTGAGGTTGCTGTGAGCTAGGCTGATGCCATGGCACTCACTCTATCCTGGGCAACAGAGTGAGACTCTGTCTCAAAAAAAAAAAAAGAAAAAGGCAAAAAGAAAACCTTGTAAAATCACAGGATGTACTTCATAATTATCTTTAGCTTTCCACTCTGAACTAGCCGTCCAAGCTGGCTTTGAAATGCACTCAGACCCACATCCAGGCAGCTCTCCTTTCTAAACAACTCCCCGACCTTTTCCAACTTGGCCCCACTGTTAGTAACATATTTGGGGAGCTTGAGGGTGGAAAGCAGGGAGAAGATGAGAAGGCTCCAAATAATCAAGAATAAACTTGGTTAATTGACTCAGAGATAATTGATAAAGAAAAATTGTAAGTATGACCCTATCTAATGCCTCAGAGCATCAGATCAGATGACACTTTAGTTTGCTCCTGTCTTAAGCTAACAACTTCCCTCTTTCTCTGGGAAGTTTCCTTCCCATACTCTATCTACAGTCGTAGAACTTTGGAGGTTGTTTTTATGTGGGGGTTCTCTTCTAGAGCTGATTGGACCGGGGATGGTGTTAAATTAAATTTGGCCTGAGGATGCCTCCATGCTTTAAGTCATGTCATGAACTGCAACCTAACTTAGTACATAAACTAACAAAGTCTAACTGAGGAGTCAATGATAACAAATAGCTGAGTCTCAGTTGATCACAGCAGCCAACTGATCCGACCATGCTCAAATAAGGCAGAAGCCCAGCCGTAGCAACCAAGCTGTTTGTATAGCTCACTTCCATTTTCCATCCATGCATGCTGTCTGTCGACATTGTGAAGCCCAGCTCTCTAAACTTCTGGTTTTGAGGGCTGCCTGATTTGCAGATCATTCTTTGCTTAATTAAACTCTGCAAAATTCAATTTGCCTAAAGCTTTTAACGGTCCGACATCAGAAGTGGGATCCGAAGTAGACCTCCAGTGCCCCTCAGGAGTGCTGATCGAGCCAAAGTACCTGCTGAGCCCACTGTGCCCACCGTGTCCACTGATCTCTCACAGCTGCTGGCTTGTGGGCAAGTTCTCTCCTGGATTCAGCTCCATGAACTTGTGTTCGAGCTCTTTGAGTTTATTTGAGCAATTTTTAGGGTGGGCTGGGTCCCGGATCAGACTGGATCCAGTTGGAGTCCTCTGTTGTCTGCCTGGGTCAGGCAGAGACTAGGCTGGGGTTCAGTGGATAGGTTAGGTTACAAGAAGATAGAACAGTGGGTTCATCTGAATCCAAGGAATCTCCCATCTTGGACGTTGTTCTTTTCTAGAGAAATGAAACTTTTCTAAGTTACCAAAAGTAACTTAGAGTTACAGTGGCTACTGTGGAGGAGATTTAACCTAAACACAATTGCTCATCTATAGGCACTTTGGAGAAAAGAAAGGGGGTGGGATCCTGAACACCTCTGAAACAATGGGATGTATTTTTGATTGGCATGCAGAAGCTTCCAGAGGACTAAATGAAAAGCTTAAGCAACTAATTGATTAGGGGAAAAAATTCCCTTTGCCACTTTTGCTTGCTTTTTTTTTTTTTTTTCTTTTGCTTCTTCTAATTTTCTTACCTTTTTTGCTTCTTTTTTTTTTTTGACCTTCAAGGCCTTCCAAAATCCCAAAACAGTTGCTTATAGAAGTTGGGCCCTCTGACCAACAGGGCATGCTTTCTATTATTATTTTAGAGATAGGGTCTCACTGTCTCTCAGGCTGAGGTGCAGTGGCATGATCATAACTTACTGTAACCTCAAACTCTTGGGATAAAGCAAACCTTCTGCCTCATCCTCCTGAATAGCTGGGTCTATGCACATGCCACCATGTCTGGCGTTTTTTTTAATTTTTGGTAAGAGACAGGGGTCTCACTGTATTGCCCAGCCTGATCTTAAACTCCTAGCCTCAAGTGATCCTCCTGCCTCGGCCTCCAAAAATGCTAGGATTATAGGCAGGAGCCACCACTCCTAGCCAGGGCCAGCTTCTTTAACTGCCTTTGTGTTTTGGTCAAAATCTTAAGGTCAGAACAATTTCAGTCCTGCATAGGAGGTGTTTTTTCTGTCCTATTGGTTAATGGACTCCACTCTGAACTCAGAGTCATCCCTCAGTATTCTTGGAGGATTGGTTCCAGCACCTCCCCATGGATACCAAAATGCATGGATGCTGAAGTCCCTTATATAAAACAGCATAGTATAAGCATATAATCTACGCACACACTCCTATATACTTTAAATCATCTCTAGATCACTCATACCTAATACCATGTAAATGCTATGTAAATAGTTATACTTCATTCTCTTTTATTGTTGTATTGTTTATTATTTTTGATTATCTTCCATCCTCACTTGAGTCCACAGATATATAATAGAACCCGTGGATACAGAGGGCTGACAGTAATCTAGTTAAAAATATATATATAAGGTGAGTTGAGAAACTGCCTATTTTTAGTTGCGATTCTTTTTTGTAAGAGAAATTTATATCTATAAAGGGAATCTTCATTGTTAAGGGCATCTCCCTCTCTGCGCCTAAATCACTAGGTGCTTTTACAGTGGAGAAGGCCAAGACTTAAATCTATATAACAAGCCTCACCTTTGACAACTGTGTCTTAACTGGGCTTATTAGGCCTCTCTTTGGCTCATAAATAATGGCATTTGGCTTGAAATCTGAGTTCTGTACCTTTGAGATGCAAATTTTCTACCTTGTTTTACCTAAGAGCCATCCCTCTGGAAATGCAAATTTAGGGTAGAAAATGTTTAGGTGGTTGTTAAAAGCCATGGACATCTGAGCCACTCAGGCCCCTTCTCTCAGAAATCTGGCACCGGGGTCCTGGAGGGCAGTGAGTCTGTAGTGGTCAAAGCTAATGGAGCTGTAGGCTGGCCATATTCGGTCTTGTGGACTGAGCAGCAGGGGAAATTGGGTGAGAGTATGACTTTTCCTGAGGTGGATCTTTACTTCTGCCTGTTGTTTATTCTTCTGTGTATGAGAGATGGAGAAAACTATGCTCACTAGAATTCCTCTCTGGAAGACCAGTGTGTTTGCCTTCATAAGCTGCCTGGGTTAGAGGGGAAGGCACTGAGGGGTAATGTGATAACTGAAGCTTTTAGCTAAATTTCTAGACACAAATACATAGAAAAAGAAACAAACAGTGCCAGGAAAAGCCTGAGAGGGAAGAAAAAGAAAGTAGCAAAAATAAGCATTATGTGTTACAAGGGGAAACCCCATGATGGTAGAACAGTGGAGAAAGGACAGGGTGGTGGTAACACAAACATTCTACTTTTTGTGGTCCAATGCGATGCTCTGCATGATGGCAATGCCCTGCCTGTGACTCACTATCTCAGACAAATCTGCGTTGCCTGCTGATTCTTTGTGCAAATGGATCCTTAGAAAAAATCCTGAATTGTGTGTCCAGGTGAGCACAGGGTAAAAACAGAGGCTGCTTACCTGGGCTCGGGACCAGAGGACACCTGGGCTCTAGGTCCTTATAATAAATTCTTAGGGTATGTAGATGTATATACATAAGTAGCTTAAGTTAGTTTTGGTGGTCTATAAATGAATATAAATGAAGTCTTGACTGATGCAACAGGAGAAAGTCTGCACTGTCGATGCCATTTAAGAGGTGTCTCAGCACAGTTTCAAGGGAATTGTGCCTTTACTCCATCTGGACTGTGATCATTAACTGGAAACTAAATCCGGGATCAGTTCCGAGAGCACTGGTCAGACAAGTTGGGAAGGGCCACGAGCTTTCTTTTTGACAAGTATCAGGATCCAGGAGAAAGAAAAAAAAAAAAAAAGCACAGAACATTTGAGGTAGAAGAAATCTTAGGAACCATGTAATCCAACTCCACCATTTCACAGACAAGGAAAGTGAGCTCCAGAGGTGGGTGGAACACGGGAGGCTTCACTTGAAATTTTGCTCTCCCCAAACAATACCTTTTTTTTTTTTTTCTGTATGAACTATGTTCGTGATTGTAGCTTTGTACCAGTGGGTCCTAAGTTAGTTTTAAAGCAGTGCTTCTCAAGATATTGCTGAGAGATCGCTGCCATTTGCTAACTAGTTTTGCAGTTCTGTGTGTCTACAGTGTAATAACTTCTATATTTCTAGGGAGTAGCCCTAGTTGTTAATTTATGCTCACATTTAATTACATAAACATATTGGTACCAACTTAAAGCAACATCATTTTTGTCATTGATTCTGGTGAGTTGCTTTACCAGGGTGAGTCCACAGAGGGTCTATACTCTCCTCTGACACCCCCACACTTTCTTTCAATAAAGTTTGAAACTTTATTGAACCTTTCAATAAAGTTTGGAAGACGTG